TAGCCGGCCCCGCCTGGCCCCGCTCTGCCGCCGGACACGGACCCACCGGTGGTGCCCTGCCCTGGCTACCCCTCGCCCCTGAACTGCCGGAGTGGAGGAGAGGAGGAGCAGGGGAGTAAAGGAGAGAAGGGAGGTGGAGGAGAGGAGAAGGGAGAAGCAAGAAGGAGAAGGGAGGAGGAGGAGCCTCGGCCACAGGCCTCGCCCCTCACCATTCATCCCCGCCATCGTCCCCGCACCTCGCTGGAGACGAAGGTGACCCCAGCACTGTGTCGCCCGACTCCACCACCACCCAAGGTATAAAGCCCCCCCGGTTGTCGGCCTTCGTGCCTTGTATGTCATTGATGGACTTCGTGCCGTATGTGCATGTGTGGGCCTTCATGCCGTACGTGGATGTGTGGGCCTTCGTGCCGTATATATGCTGTCGACCATCGTGCCGGCTTTGTGCATGTGTGGGCCTTCATGCCGTACGTGGATGTGTGGGCCTTCGTGCAGATATATATCTTTGTCGGCCATCGTGGCTGGCTTTTTTTCTTGTAGTTTTGGAAACCTCCCGTCTGAGGGAGGTTCTGCTGAAATTTTTAACTTATAGTATTATAATTCTTCTTTTGCAGAGCAGGACCCGTCGGAGGGGACCCGGAGTACGTAGGCGACCCCGATCGTCTTCTTCGGCGCTGCGGTCCTGCCTGCACAGCGTCGCCTCGCCACTGCCCCGCTAGCCTGACTCCACCGCCACCCTAGGTATAAATAACCTCTCTTCCTTATCATTGTCGTAGATCGGTGTAACCCAGTTAGGCGTCTCTCGTTCGAAACAGATACGGTTGGAGGTATGCGGATCTTCGCATATCTAAGACCGTATCTGTTTTAGATAGTCCACTTTTTGGACAGCCCGCGGATGCGTACATGGGGTAGTTTCCACTAGGAGGAGCTACCCCTAGGTTTACGCCAACCGGAGGGACATGGCGGCAGCTGAGGAGGCGGAGGCGTCAGAGAGGCCGAGGAGGCCGAGAGGTAGGCCCAGGCGGGGGCCGTTGACTGACCACGGGCGCAGCTCCTCACGTGACTCTGTGCACGACGACGACCTTCAACACACGGTGGACAGGGACGGGGGGTCCATGGACGGTTCCAGCGACGGAGGATGAGGAGGCGGTGATGGTAGGGGGTTCCACTTCCTCTAGTACGTCGAAGCCCTACCAGCGAGGTCCCGCAAAGCTCCCGAAGCGACCGATACCTATTGAGAGGCGCCCACTGGTTGCACCCGAGGGCGATAAGTAAGTAACTTCATATGTTCTTCATTTGATATGTTGAAAAATCATAATAACAACTAATAACTATTGTGGACCACTTGTGCACGAACTGGGTGCTTGTGGACCAGGCGGCCTCGGCACGCAATGTGAATGGCATCCTAGACTTCTATGCAAGGAACACTTCCATGGCCTGGTTAGGAAAGGAGATCAGGATTGGGAGCCGGCCTGGACGTTCGACCACTATGCCCTCGTGCAGGATGCTCCAGATCATAATGGCATCTGCTGTAGAAACAAGGCAGATCGGGTGATTAGGGAGTTGTGGGTAAGTCTTTCTTGCACTACATTCCTCAATTCCTCGCATTCATTGGACATTCTTGAAATAAAACAATGGATACCTCGTGTCTTTATGCAAGACTTCTTCAGAATCCAGGAGGGACAGGAGGAAAGTGCGTATCAGGTGGCTTACGCTTCCTGTAAAAGGCGTCTCATGGACTTGCACTACGAGTCCCGCCTCCAGACCCACATAGACTACAACGCCAAGTTCCTACTCAGGCGTGTCAACAAAGAGGAGGCAAGACGGATGACGTCGACAAGGGAGCAGTACATACAGGTAAATACAAAACATGAATATTCATTTCTTTTGAGATTAAGTATGCCTAATTTGATCTTCTGATATGTCGTCTACTTGATGTCCTGTAGGTGATTCCAAGCTGGTGCGCCACCCACCCCGATTGCTGGGAATATATTGTGGACACCTGGTTGGACGGGGACTGGCAGAAGAAGCACGAGGAGGCCCACGATAGGCGTTTGCAGATGCCAGGTGTACCTCACCATCAAGGCAGCTACAGCCTCAGCAAATATGCAAAGGCATATGTAAGTCTCCGCCATTGCTCTAATCTAACCGCGCTCAATTCTGCATCATTTCTAACCACATGTTGTTGTCTTTCTCGTAGTCGGATGCACACGGTGGCCAGCCAGTTGATCAACTCAAGGCATATGTTCTGGCTCACATGGGCAAGGCGACGGCCGACATCGAGTACGACCCAGATGCCACGCTTGAGGTGTACACCAATTCCAGCGTCCACACCCGCCTCTCTTCGTACACGGAGGCGGCAAGGTCAGTCCATGGGCCGGGCTACGATCCGAGAACCAAGGAGCGCCTTGATCCTCAGCTCGTGATGAGGGTGGGGCAAGGCAAGAAGCATGGGTGGTTCTAGATTGGCGACGGCGTCGTCGACACGGCCTCTACTCCTCTCCACCAGCTCCGAGCAGCGAGCACGAGCTCAAGCGTGCCCATACGCCAATGGCCGACCGCGGTGTCGGCACTCCAAGTAAGTATTCCTGTTTCATTCGTCGTTCTTTGACTTTTACATAACTTACCTATGCATTATTGAAACATTGGGGTCAAATGCTGCAGGCCGAGCGAGAGGCCGAGCGGCAGAGGCTATAGGCTTTGGAGGCCCAGCCGGAGCAAGATCAGCGACAGATGGCCGAGATGATCAAGTTCATGTAGCAAATTGGCCAACAACAAGGTTGGGCGATCCCACAGACGCTACTTGCTCCAGATCCACCTCCACAACGTCCTGATTCTACCCCGGTGAGTATAAGTATGAAGTTTTACTTTTTATGCTGAAACTTAGAGAAACCTAGTGAAACCTAGAGAAATCTAGTGGTGGTGTGGTGTTGGTGGTGGTGATCACGGTGTTGTGGTGCTCATGGTGGTGGTGGTGTGGTGGTGGTGGTGGTGGTGGCAGTGGTGGTCATGGTGGTGATGTGGTGGTGGTGGTGTGGTGGTGTTGGTGGTGAAGTGTTGGTGATGGCGGTGATGTGGTGGTGGTGGTGGTAGTGACGGATATTTATCTTGTATATTTATCTCTTTTCTTATCGGTCACGTGCAATCTCTTCTATTTTGTGCAGCATCAATCGGGGGCGGCGTCAAACCACCTCGGAGGGTCGCCGGGATCGCACGTTGGGTCATCCCAACCCGGACCGTCGTCGTGAGCTTCAAATGGCAGCCGTTGTGATATAATGCACTTGTGAACTTTGTGAACTATGCTTGTGTGTTTAGACTTTGGACTTGGGAGTCGAGATTGTGATACTTGTATGCTATGTTTGTGTTTGTGGTGGATTGTGATATACATTTGTATTATATATATATATATATTTGTGTGATATATAGTTGTGTTATATATATATACATATATATATATATATGATGTATATCTTGTTTGCAACGATGGAAAACTAAAAACCAAAAAAAAAATTCACTTCTTTGCCGAGTGTCATGACCATGACACTCGGCAAAGCTAGGAATCTGGGACAATAAGCTTCCAAGCTTTGCCGAGTGCCATGGTCAAGGCACTCGGCAAAGAAAATCAAAAAAAAAACTGCTTTGCCGAGTGTCTACCTACAGCACTCGGCAAAGAAAATCCAAAAAAAAAGAAAACAAGCTTTGCCGAGTGCCAGATGCAGGCACTCGGCAAAGCATTTTTTTAAAAAAATAAAAAACACATTTCTTTACCGAGTGCCGACGCGTGGCACTCGACAAAGGGGCCGTCACCGTGACCTAGCCGTCACGGCGGCTTTTCTTTGCCGAGTGCCGTTGTGGCACTCGGGAAATCCTTTGTCGACTATCCGACATACGGCACTCGGCAAAGAAGCCTTTGCCATAAAGGGATATGCCAACAGCTCTTTACCAAGTGCAGCACTCGGCAACGGCTTTGTCGAGTGCAAAGTCTTCTTTGCCGAGTGCAATTGCACTTGGCAAAGCACGCGTATGTTGTAGTGTCTCTCACAACAAATCAACACCAATCACGCTTATTAGCTTAGAAACCAACCAACGAACCGATAGAGGATTGCATAAATAATTCTAGACTACGTTGTGTGTTTGGGACTGCAAGTTTTGTGCGTCGCAAACTGCCAATGGAAACCGAGAGCTAGCTGATCGCAGACCTGGGGTCGTTAACTTTGAACGCTGCGTGCGTATCCATTACAAACTGGCATGAAACATGAACCATCGACGACGTGGCACAAACGTGCGTGTTGTTGCATATGTATGTTTGGTCCTCCAACAACTGTTGGTTCGCCGTGGTTCGTGGATCGTGGATCTGGCAGGGAATACAGTATCATATAGGAGTACCTAGCTTTGATGACCCTTGACCATTTCAATCCGCCAGAGGGCAGCTTCCGATTCCGAGGCATCACGGTCAACTCAAGCTTCGGTGACGACAAGCAAGTCTGAATTGTGGCGCAATTACTGCACACGGCAGGAACTGTCGGTGCCGAACAGCGGAACAGGCATACAAGAATCCAAGAAAACCTCACGGATTTTTTGTGAAATCCGCCAAACATGCATCGATCACATCCACTCCTTTATATCTTATCCAAAGTAGTAGTAGCAAGAAGGAGATTCATTATTTAGTTGATTTCCATAGGTTCAATATATAAGCTTAAGTAATCTTGCGCACAAGCTGTACGCAGTGGCCGAGATTAGTCAAATAATTTGGCTGCCCTGCACAACGTGTCATCACGTGCGATGAGTGTTCACTCATCTGACTAGCAGTTCCAGTTCCACTGACCCCCACGTCCACCCCGCCCCGCACGGACGGCTCCGCACCCATCCACACTATAAAAGGCAACACGGCCGGGGCGCCATTCCTGCGAGCTGAGGAATCTAACAAGCAAGCGGAGCAGCTGCTCTCTCTAGTCTAGCTAGATATATGTAACACGTCTAGAAGCTTGTGCGCGTGGCAACCCATGGCGGCTCGGGGAAGAGGCAGTGCAGCAGGCAGTAGGGCGCCGCTTGTCGCCGGTGCCGCGTTCCTGTGCGTGGCGGTGCTCCTGCTGGCGGCCGCCATCCAGGCCGCAGAGGCGGGGACGACGTACCTCGTCGGCGACGCCGCCGGGTGGACGCGCAATGTTGACTACGGCCAGTGGGTGGCGGGCAAGACCTTCCACGCCGGCGACATCCTCGGTACGTCCTATGTTCTCTTGGCCGGCTTCATCACCTCGTTGCACTGCACTCACTAGTAGTAGTACGTAGCCTTTTAACGTGCACACGCACTTGTATATAGCCTGATCCTAATGGCCGATCAATCATACATCAACATAATACGCAGTGTTCAAGTACAACACCACGTGGCACGACGTGACGTGGGTGAGCAAGGGAGGCTACAGGAAGTGCATCGTGTCACCCAAGGGACGCGCGCCGGTGTACCACACGGGCTACGACGCGGTGACGCTGCCCAGGGGCACGCACTACTTCATCTGCGGCGCGCCGGGACACTGCAGCGCCGGCATGAAGCTCGCCGTCACGGTCTGCTGAGATCCATCGTACGTACCGACGTACGTGTCCAGAGCTCCATCGATCTTCTCGATCTGGACTGCGTGGGTAGCAGAGCAGGTAGTGTATGTGACTTGAACACATACACTGATGAGTTAATTGGCGTATGTAATTTGCGTGTCGTTGCGACTTGCAACTTGCTGTGTGATGATGAGTTAATTTGGAGTGTATGTGACATGAAAATATATGCAATGAGAGTAAACTGATGTTTCCTCTCGTCACGCTGCTAGCTAATAATGTTTGAACTTGTCCACAACTCCAAAAGCAACTGAGTTAATAGTTGGAGTCACGTGGATGCGGGAAAAAGTCAAAGCAGAAATGTGTGCATCAGCATCGTGTGCAAGACGCCGCGCGCGCGTCCTACCAAGTTGACTTTTCCCATATGTTACCATCGTGCGCAAGATGCCGCGCGTCCTACCAACGCCTTGTTTAGATGCCATCTAAATTCTAAGTTTTTTCACTCTTTTTCATCACATCAATTTTTAGCTACTTACATAGAGTATTAAATGTAGGTAAAAAAAAATAACTAATTACACAGTTTAGTTGGAAATCACGAGATGAATCTTTTGAGCCTAGTTGGTCCACGATTGCCAAATAAGACGAAAGTGGTACTATTCATCGGGTTCATTTTTTTTTTAAGTGAACGAGGCCCAAGTTGACTTTTGCTATACGTGCATATTGATCAAGTAGCTGCCCCATGTCTATGCATTCAAACAGCTTCACCCCTGCTCAAATTGAAAGCGACTATTCACTGGCACTCTACAATGAGCTCTCTTCCATTGTTAGACGATCTGTGTGCCAGACAGTGTTTCGAAAATCCCAAAGGGGAAGTTCATATATGTGCACCGAACAGGTACATATTGAGCAACCTATGGCAATGTTTGGTTCACCCTAATTTCGCCGCAACTGAAGGACCGATATAAGAATTAAAGGAGATTGTCAACAAGAGCCACAAAAATTCATTGAAGGGGATGGTAAAAAGATCGATGAACTAAAATTTCACCATATATGTACTCCTCGGAGCAAGTGCACTCTTTTTCAATTTGCACTACATTCGTCACTGCTTATTAGCCTATATATATACTGAGAGCATGGATCAATTCAATCAATCACACAATAATGTTTCCATCAACTGCAACAAGCTAGGTTGTTGCCGTGTAACATAAGAAATATAACATTCACAAATAAATGGAAGCCACTTACAACAGATATGTAATACTTAGACTATGTTCCACCAGTGACGGAGGATGAAATCAATCTTTTATAGAGCTAATCTCAACTAAAAGTTCTATATCAACATGTAAAAGTCATCCACATCATCTCTCACTAACTATCCACATCATCTCACACAGTGCCGGCCCTGGAGAGGTGCCAGAGGTGCTACGGCCGAGGGCCTAGGGGAGGGAGGGGCCCAGGCCCATGTCTACTGTAGATCCCAGCCCTATAGTCCGATGGCACTTGATAGGCAGTCTGAGACGTTTAGGATCAGGAGCGCCGAGCGCTTGCGTCCCCAGTCCACGAGTCTACTACGTACGCGAGCGCCCAGGGCGAAGGGTCACGGTCTCAGGGAGTCACGGATAGTCGGAGACGGAGCCACGCCACGCCGCTGCCGGCTGCCGCGGAGAGCCGGAAACACGAAAACGGCACACTCACAGGCTCGACTCGACGACGACGCGATCAGGCGGTTCAGCCGAACATGAGTTTATCAATCATCACTTCATCAGCCGATCAGGCCCTAGCACCTAGGTATTTTTTCCCATGATCGTTTTTAATCCAAATTAATTATTTCAAACTTCTAGTACTCGTACTCTGTCATGTTTTTCTTTTAATTTAGGTGTTAGAATCTTAAAATGTTACCTAAGAAACGTTTGTCGGGATCTCAGAAAAGAAAACGGAAAAAACTAGAAAATAAATTTATTGAATCTTAGAAAAGTGCTAGACATAAGTGGACACTATTGATCTCAATACCGTCCTTGATGATTCTGCATCAAGAAGTGTCCGAAGAAGTATCTTTTTATGAGAAGCAATGGATATTATAGAGTTCTATTCTTCCTTATGGTCATCATATTAGTTTTAGAAGTACAAATATACTATTGTTTTAGTTTACTTTTTTTTACGGTCACCGGAGGAGTTTTCGCCACCTGAATTTTATTGGCCCACGATAATGTTTACAAGATGTTTACATTTTGAGAGAAATGGAGTTTATAGGCCACTCCTGGGCCGTTTTAGTTTACATTGTTCCTCGATAACTATCAAACATGTTAAATTAAAAATATATCACTGGATTTGTTTTCGCTTTGCAACAAAAATTAGCGCCTATATATTATAAGATTTTATATGTGGTCTAGAGGGCCTTCATGATGAGTTCGCCAGAGAGCCCTCAAAATTCTAGGACCGGCACTGATTTCATTAATAACCATGTCATCCCACTAACTTTCAATATCTTAATACAAGCTATCTACGTCATCTTTACTAAGCACGACTACAACTTTCAATATATTAGAAGTATAGAAGGCATTCAAATATTGATATTTGTTTTTTTTTTGTTCCATGCATCATCTTATAACTCAATATAATTATGTTATCTTTTTTTATTGGATTCTTTCGTTGCCTTGTCGAGTTTTTAATAAGAATGGATGTAATAATATGTAGATTTAACTCATGCGTACATCAATTTTATTACTAAGAAAGTCCCGCAGCAACGCGCAGGTATGCTTCTAGTTTAAGGTACGATGAAATCAATAACACAGATAGCAAAGATTTAGAATTAAAATGGTTTATACACAAGATACCATGATCGTTAAGTACAAAATATAAAAGTAAAAACATTTAGGATAAACAAAAATATGCAAGAAGTCAATAGACAAATCGAGTGAATGAATATTCAATTGCATCTTGGTGATAGAGGAAATTACACTTGCCTACCTTTCACATGTTCACAAATTAATCAACCAGATTCAGTAATTAATGATAAGAAAATATTTTTTTCCTCGAATACACAAAAGATTTACGTGTTTTTACATTAAGATAGAAGAGTTTAAACATACCAACGTTGCGCTTCAAGCGAATGCCCTAGGGGGTCAAGAAGGAAGCAGTGCAAGGCCGGACTGTCCCGGACATTACTCAGAAGCTAAACAACCAATAGACGTGCAGCGTTTTGACTCAGGAAATAACTTTTCATTGACGTTGCTTCTTGCGTGTCCCTGCCCCGCTATCTGGAAATAGGGCGCGCTACGCCTTGACATTAGCAGTCAGGTCTACCATGAATAGATCCTCGTATGCCTTCTTTCCCGAAGCGCTTGGTGTGGAAAATCCTATGGTGAGGCCCCATGCACTGCATGATGAGGACCACACCTTGCTTGGAAGCGCGCACCTGAGAGAGGGCCGGAACCGCCAAAACAAGAAAATAAAATTAAAAAAGTAGTCGTTGATTAAAAAGAACAAGTAATTTACCTGATGATGGCGAGACGATGTTGGTGTGTCGGTTGCAGACCGATGCTTGCTAGCAAAGACTGAAGACTGCAGTGCCGCCTGGTTTTGCCTACTCAACTTGTTGTTGCTGTACTGGATTAGCACCAACTTGCATAGCGCAGATGGCCACTGGCCCGGAACTCGCCTACTCACCGCCGGAACCGGAACTCGCCTTGTTGTAGGGCACGATTTGATTTTTGAAGACGATGGCCGTCGGAACCAGAACTCACAGTCATAGATGGGGGCGTCAGTTATTCGTTCATGAGACGCACAGTCGGAATTTCGGAAATACAAAGTGTGACACGGCCAGAAACGACTCGAATACGGGCCAAGGCCCATGTGCAGGCAGATATGCCCGCCCAAAGCGTGAAGGCCCAAAATACCGGTTCAGAGCAAATGGTTTCTTCTTCCTCTAGACGACATCCAGATGTCAGCGGCTCTCTAGTCCATGTCGGATTAGCGGAAGGGGCGGGATTCAGAAGGGGAGTCACGGCGGAATCGAGGTATGGCAGCTGCTATACCATGTCATATTGAGACCTCTGCAACTGTGTTCCACCAAATAGGGTACAAAACACGGAAGAAAGGAAGGAAGAGGAGGCAGTGGAAGCTAGAGGATGAATGCTTAATATTCCGAATTCTGTTACAATGTTTTTCTCTCTCTCCCTCTTCCTGTTCGGAATGACTGACACCCAGACGTCCAGCACGAGGCCCTCGTCTGGACACCGCTCCCCACGCCCGGCGCCTCCTTCGTTCCGCACGTTCCACCCACTCCGATTCTGCGCCGCTCGAACGACTCACCCACGCTGCCCGTCCCCACGCGGGCCCATGTCACCCGAACATCACGAACATCGAGAAGAGGACAAGACACCGAGACGAGACAGCAGATGGTGAGGAGGGAGATGCGACACCCGATCTACTTTTAAAATATTCAAATAAAACATTTACAACATATGTTACAAAACAGTTGAAACACTTGCAACGTACGTCTGAAACGCTTGTAAAAACACTTGAAAACGCTTGAAAAACCATTGCAAAATATATGCACCATTTAGATAAAACACATGCAACATATGTGTGAAACACATGCAACATTCAATAAACACACTTGCAACATACGTCTGAAAAAATAATTGAAACATTGGGAACAAAATCTTGCAACATACGTGTACAACCATTGCGACATATGCAACATCTCAATCTACTTTTGCAACATCCACATGAAACAATTGGAACATCCAGATGAATCGTGTAACACACTTAAAACATACTCTTACAACATGCGTTTTCAGCGCGCAATGTCACTATGCTGCTTGGATGAATCATGGAGTTCGACGCCGCCACGGCGCATGGAGCTCGTCGGTGCGCCTCTAGGCGAGGACCTGCTCGGCAGCCTAGGTGAGCACCAGCGCCAGGCGCGCGAGCACGCACCTGCTCGGCGCCCTAGGCCAGTGCACCCTAGGTGCGGAGGAGGACGGGCTTGGAGCGGCGGGGGACGGAGGCGCCGTGGGGGA